GAATTGTTACTGTGCGATATGAATTGTGGAACAAGCACATGATCTTGGCTAAGCATTTTGGTGTAGGGTTATATGTGGCCAAGAGTCAGGTGATGAGGGTGTCATTTACTATGCGGATACCATATTAAATTACACAAATGATGACAAATGGTTGGCCAAGAAAGGCTATACCTAAAAAGGACTAAAGGTGTGCAGATAATAAAAAATGGCGCTAAGGGGTGTGCATATAGTCAATCTCTAAAAGACTGGTTACAAGATCGACCTAATAGGAAGCTTTCCTACCTAGCGAGTAGACCATACAAGATCATCGAGAAGATAGGCAACTCCTACAAATAGATCTCCCGGAAGCGATTCGGGTACACCCTATCTTCCATCTAAGTAAGCTACGGAAGGCAGTGACGATAGAGCCCCTAGAAGGACAATATATAGACCTATCTCCACCAATATAGGTCGGAGAGACAGACGAATAGGAAGTCGAGAAGATTCTAGACGTTAGATCGCACTACAGGAAGTTACAGTACAGAGTACAATAATAGGTGGGACATAACCTCGATTTACAATGGTATCCCGCCGGTGACATGAAACATGCACCAAGGAAAATACAGGAGTTCCATGCGTAGTATCCTGCAAAGCCCGGTCCCCCTATGCTTTAACAGGAATGTGTTGAACGAAATACAGCGTACTTTTCCACTAGACCATAACAAAAACCAAGGTTCCTGTTTATGGCCTAGGGAGGCCGTATTTGAGGTATGACAGAATGGTTAGATGCGGATGAAGAAGATCGAGTTCTCGAGGACCATGTTGATGATGACAAACCAGCATTCAGGGACTGAATGCAGTTTTAGTCGGGGGTTATGTGACGATCTGTGTGACGATCTAGGTTGAGATGTCGATATTTCTGCCGTCGTTGACCGCCTGCCTAAGGGATTCGCAGCTTTCTTTCCCTCAACTTGGGTTTGCATTGTTTGATTGTTTGGTTGTGACAGGACCCCACAAAGGATCCTGTCTCGCAGGTTTCTTTCTTTCTTCTTCTTTCTCTGTACTTAGTATTTTCGTTGAAATGCACTCTTTTACTTGAAGAACTGGCTGGTAATAAATGCGGGAAGTTACTATAGAGAGGGGATCTATTATTATAACGACTATTCTAATCGTACCGTGATCGAGGTTCGATCGTGGTGCGATAGAGTTATAATTAGATTTCCGATTTTCGATTTTAGGGGTTTACTTCGGCGCTAGGTTATTAACTCGGTGTTAATTTATAACCTCTCTTCAGCGATAGTAACGTTATTTCTTTAATTAAACGATTCCGGGCTTATAACTAATAGAAATCTAACTATATAAAATGTATCAGTTGAAATAATAGGTATTAAATCCTCCGACTAACTTAAAACGATTAAAATCCCTATTTATACAATCTAAGTGGGATCTGGATTACTAATATTCGTACTTTTATTATGGGATAGCCGAGCCCACCGAGGTCATATGTGGTTTCCACTATGTCTTGCACCTGGTATTCTGACATAATACTCTAAATTCTCCAATCAAAACAATTAAATCCGCTCTTTTCCCAATATATACGGATAACGCTGACTATACACAACATACAGTTTGTGTAGGCCGCGCCATATAGCGGTCCATGGATTTTTCCAGGTAACCACCTTGTTTTCAATTTTCTTTTCAACCTTGCATTGTACCGTTGGTTTCGACATTTCTTTATAAAATTTTTTCTAACTTTATAGGGGCCAGATGGTATTCGAAAGTGCATAATGCTTACGCGCAGTAATATCAACGATAGACTAACATTAATACACGGAGAAACATGAAATATCTCCTGAAGCCTAATAAATTAAGAAAACGTCTCCGTTACCAACCATTTAGTAATCAAACACTACTTATGTGATATGACTATTAACGTAGCAGATTAAAGAATAGAGTGACACGTTCATAATCGACATCTGACCCAGGGGGGTCAGATTTCGGGACTCCCGTGGCTGGCCCTGCAATAGCTTCCAAGTCAACCTTCGTCATGCCAGGGTGAAGATGGATATCATATGAAAGTGTAGTTGCATCTCCAGACGAATGAAGCCGCTGCATACCCATGAGTGTAACAATTTTAACCTGTCGCTGGGAAGTACTAGCAACTAAACGAGGCCTGACCGTCACTACATTATGTGAAGGAGGAAGATGGACTGTGATATTCTGCTGTGAAACAAGCGACGAAGGTGGGATATCCAGGCAGAAGTCCGGTTGCAACGACAACGACGCATGGGTAAGAATCCGAACATTACGAATCAATGCCATCCTTGGATCTGGCTTGTAGTTAGCTGGAAGTCCCATAAATCTCAGTGGGAGTCAAACCTTGGCCCGATTGCCTTAGAAGCGAATCCATGGGCGACGAGCCGAAATGCGGCTGGCAAGGAGCATGGCCTGACAAGAAGTCAGCACAGGCCGGGAGGCAAGTAACACTTTCGCCAACCGACAAAATGTCTACTGAGCGCAACCTACCTGAACCCGAAGATGAGTGCTGAGAGACATCCAAAGAGGCATCAGAAGATGTATTGGAGGATTTTTGTGAAGCGGAAACTGCCATGGTGGTTGTGTTTTTCATCGAGCTCAGTAAGCCTTGCACACCCATGAAACTATTTTGGTGTTGTTCTGAGCCAGATGTTGTCGTTGAGGTGCTTGACCTGGGACTGCCAAGTTGCTCTCTTAGAGACCAATTTCGAGGAGATCTACTGATTTCTTGGCCTGCTAATCCAGCTTCGGGAAAATATTTCGTATGGCCTTGGGATTCGTTCTTCAACGTGACATCTGACGGGTGTCCATCGTTTTTGGATAGTGTATCGGAGCTCTGCCCAGGCATTCTCAAGGTTAACCTCTGCGCCACTGGGGGCACAGCAGTGCCCACTTTAAATTTGACGCGAGACATTTGAAGGGCTCCATCTACCTCAAGGGGATTCGGAACAAGCTTTTTAGCTTTCGCAACCCGGCGGTGGAAGTGATCCTGGGCCTCCAATGTCAGCATGCCGAAGGGGACGGGTAGCAAGAGCATCGCGGTATAGGCTTACCTCCAAAACTCCCGCAAGAATGGATATATCACTGTCGTCTTCGTTATACTCTCTGGCATTGCGCCATACATAGCTGACCTCCTCTTCAAAGGACTGCCAAGTTGGATATGCGGTGGTTTTGGATAAATTCTTCCTGCTGTCGGTACCGCGAACTCTCTTTTGGATGCTTCGCAAGGACACAGGATGTTGAATGATTTCATAGTAATCCCGGTACAGATTCCGGTCCGGTTTCCCAATGAACGGGTAAGAAACCTGGTGGCCACTAGTTTGGGTCATCAGCCCTATGCAAAGAATTGGGATCAGTGGTACCTACTCAGAATCCTTGAGCCGGGTCAACTCGGACATAATCTTGTCCTGTGCAGTCTGAAGGTTATGGCCTTCAAAATCTGACTCGGACTCGGCCTGCGACTCCGGGGTTTGATCTGCTTTCTCTGGTGGCTCCGAGTCCAGATGCGACGATGCACGACTGGACTCTTCGGTGATCATGAGATCATCGTCCTATCAAACGCACAGTAGCCGAATTAGTGATAAAACGTGTGAGCCGATCTAAATGCGCAAAGAAACGACATAGGGTAGTAAATAAAGATTTGAATAGTGTTGGTCAAACTGCCACGATCACAAGGTCGCGATTGCCCTTCATTTCAGTGACAAGGGCCAATCAAGATGAATAACTGCAACAAAATGATACTTACGGAAACCTTTCGGCGTTTCGTTCTACGAAACTTCATATCTGGAGAGGCTGCGGCAGCTGCCCGTCGTTTTGAGGCCATCTCAGATTACTTCTGAGATCGTGCTGAGTCGCGAGTCAAGTCACACATTGAATTTAGTGATATGTGACTGAAGATAACAAGGGGATTGGCAATACACATTTAACGAACAGAGGGTCAAATTAATTGAAAGAATTACAAGTAGTGATAGAGTATAAAGGGAGATATCCGCACAGACATTCCTCGAACGTGTTGTAGACGCGTCTACGGAGTCATCCCGCCTTAGGTAAGACGGGTGGGTCCAGGGGTATCACATGGTACGGAATTGTACAAACGGTACTATGATTACAGGTATGAACGATCAATCATTCAAGTTTCAATTCTTAAAATTGTACCTATACACATTCTAATACATATAGTACGGATTTTGTATTGAAAAAACTTCAATCTATATACCGATCATTACAGCATTGCAATCTTGGTATCAACTACAAATGTAATTTAGCAGTGTATACAGAGTACGATGCTTAGCTTCATTATCACGTGATATACTACCAACTACTGCGCTGACACCTGAGGCACCAAAATGGTTGTTTCCCTCCCCCACTATTTTCCCGAGTCCCGCAAAACAAGTTGATGATTGTTGTTTCTACGATTCACACACCTACTCTTTTCTCTATCACGTCGCACAATCCTATTCTCAACTGATCACTCATACTTGGTACTTTGATTTCTCAATATCAGATCACATTACGCAACCCTAGGGCCCTTACAAGAGCCCCGTCAGTGTACGTTTCAGTTGTCGCTCCATGCGATAGTCATTCAACCACATTACATTGTGAGCCACTTCCGTGGGCCACTTACTACTGACCCTTTCCTTGAACACATGGAAAGAATTGAAATTGACAGTCTGTACAGCTGAAAGATCTTCTTATTTCACTATCTCAATGGACATCGACCCAGCGAGGCGCAACAAGAAGCCCCGTCTCCTCTTGGAGACGGAGCGCGAGAAGCTTGATGAATTTGTGGACTCAATCCACTACTCAGCAAGGTAAGGACCCTGTGCCATTGTGGTAAACTCTCCATTAACTTTGTATAGATACAACGATGACAAATTCGAATATCGCCATGTGCAGCTCCCAAAGAACATGCTCAAAAAAATCCCCACAGACTACTTCGACAGCTCCAAGGGGACTTTGAAATTGCTTTGGGAGGAGGAATGGCGAGCTCTGGGTATTACACAAGTATGTTGAACCTAATTCGAGGATGTGTGAGTTGGTTCTAACAACGTACGCGCAGAGCTTGGGGTGGGAGCATTACGAGGTGCATGAACCTGAACCTCATATTTTATTGTTCAAGTCGGTTGTCTGCGAACTGCTCCCTTGGCTGTGTCACTAACAGTTTTGTAGGCGCCCTCTTAACTACCAACCCCCTCTGCAACAATAAGTTAGTCATTGATTGGCGGCGCTGTGCTTGGAAATTTGAGCAGTTGAGAAGACATCACTTTATATTCCTTTATGTTCGTTCATGGCAGGTACACGCGTTCGCTATATTGCTTATTAGCGTCCACAAAAGCTTCATACTTGAAGTTCTGGAATGAGACCAAGTTTCATTTTCTTCTAGCCTGCCATTTCGTCGACACACAAGACCAGGCTCTCTCTCTTTGTTTTGCCTACGGAAGACAAACATCTGTCTTTTCACGGACAATTGGTCAGTGCTAGTGGCGTCATCAAATCGCGTTTTTGGCCAGTCATCTTCTCCGCTGGACAGTGGTGAGACTGTCACTGATGCTGCGCTTCTCCACTTCCTGAACTTGATGTGGGCATATTGAAATGTTATCCCCAGTCAAGTTACCTTACTATGAAGAATACTGTGGGTGAGACATGAACCTTCTCCGCTTGGTCATTCTAGCCGTTGTCGGGGGAGGGGGGGGGGGGCAACTAACAGACCAAGTACTTGCAGGGGGGGCAGACAGATAGATGCATACCTGGACTATCCACTTGACATCCCTGGTCATTTGGTTTCCAGCTTTAGTTGCTTCCCTGGATACTCCGCTAGTGATTAGTAAATCAAGTAAAGTCTTCTCTTATCAATTCCCACGCTGTTTGTAGCTTTTTCTGGTCAGTCGCATGCCTTTGTTTCATCATGCACCTGATTTATCACAACGGAAGAACATGGTATTGGCACTTGGTAGTAATTATGATGGTATTTAGACTTAAGCTAATCGAGTACAGCTTGGGTGCTACAAGTGCTACTACATCTTGTTACTGGTATAAATATGCCTATATTGTTAATCGCCTTTTGACAAGGTCATTCAAGTCTAGGCTTGGCCGTCCCCGTTCGTATCGAAAGGCGTGCTGTGCCTCCCAGTACTTGGAAATTTTAAGCCGGGGCAATGCACGGGCACATAGCTTGAATGACCCTCATAACTATGGCTGCTTATGAATAAATTTTATTGCTTTTTTCTTTAATGCTCACAGAAGATATGTATGTACATGGTATTTATACAGAGGGCAAGATGGAAGGATTATGAGCTCACATTACGTGGACCTGAAAAGGAGACGGGAATGCGTTGGGCCTTCAGATGAAAAACTCTTGTAAATTCTGGGTATGCGTGATCAATTTCCCAAAGCCTTTTGTCTCCTCATGTTTAGATCCTTGAGCGTCATTTCCACCGTTCTCCATTCGCGTTTGGCTGGATCATACTCGCCTCTCACCTCAAATCGACAAAACCCATTAGGTCCCTTCAACCCAACTGGACCCGCGATAAAGAAAGCTCCGCGGCGAGCAGACCCTAGTGTCTGGGCCCGTTCGTGGTTCAATCGTAATTTGAATGCCTGTGATGCCAAGTGCAGATCCGAACCCGGGCCGAGGTCAGGAAGTGGTAACCGCTGTAGTAAGGATATGAGGGAGGATGGGTGGTAGTTGGAATTCTCAGTATTAGGCGGCATGTTTTCTTTGAGTCCGTCGGTTAGGGGTGGTTGCAGCTCAGATTGATCTTTTCGGTCAATCCAGTTCCTCCTCTGGTCACCAGGCGCAGAAGAGGAATCTTTCAATAAATCGATTGCATCCAATGGCTCCCCAGTAGGTTTTCTGAAACGATTCAATTGCCTTAGTAGTAGTACCAGATACGCGTCTCTGATTGCCAACGCAACATGAACTGGTTTCATGAAGGTCTGTAACCTGTCACCTATCTCGGGGTCCATCGGCTTTGCGACCCATGATATGCTGTCGTTTTTAATCTCTACCCTGTCTACTGTCAGTATAAGAACAATGCATCTGGAGATCAAAGGTACATACCCCGATCGCACATATCCAGGGGGGGCGCGGTTCGGGAATTGATGAACAAGCCAGAATCCCGTAAGAGAAAGAGGCTCCCCAAGTATCTGTGACATCTGTGTTCCCGCATTATCTAGCACAATTGTGGCGAGTTCATCTAAACTTGTAAGCGAATGATCATGAGCAGGGATTGAATTGATTTCTCACCCCTAAGCTTCTGAAGCTTCTTCCGATCCTTGGATAACTTCACAAATTCTTGCCACTCTGGATCTGATGTGGTGTATAGCTCGCCTTGTTGCAATCGAGACCAGGCAAGCGGTATAAACAGCGCCCCCTCGTTTTCGACCTCTTTCCCGGAAATTTCGCCACTTCCCAAGGAGATTTGACGTGGGGCCGTCTCATCAGAATTGGCCACAAGAGGTAGATTGGTATCGTCGCTATCATCGTCAAATCGCACTAACACGAATGTGCTCCAAAGGTGGAATGCTGTGCCGTACAGAAGACATTTTGATATGAACGACCTGAGGGATTCTGCGTCAGTCTTACCAAAGAAACCTTGATTTGCCTTTGAATGGGGCTTCTTACCTAATCCAAGGCCGTCTAAACCTCACATGTCGCACATTTTCTGGGGTTGAGAAGTTTGAACGACCATGTGTAGGACTGAAGAGAGACGAGCGTGCGTGAGGACTTCGAAGCAGAGACCTGAGCCTGAGCATTGGGAAAAGCCAATCCCTGTAATTCTTCTCCCTAGATTATCATTTCAATTTGGAAAAGATGAAATGGATAGAATCCTTGAAGCCTGATATGCACGAGAATTTGTGTTGCGAGTTTGTCAATGGCGAAGAGCTCGGCGGTTTAGTATATTATGTAACATGGCCGTTGCAGCACCCGGGGCTCTAGTAACCAGGCACATACACTGAGACTACATACATCTCCACGGATAGTTACATATGATGTCTCTCGGAATGGATATTACTACTACTAGAATAAATTGTTGGGCTAGAAATTCCTGACATGGATGTTGCTTGTATGGGTGTAGATGTTTGGTCAACATAATTGCTACCACGTGATAGCTTGGTGATATCTTATCGGATGCCCCGTCATCCGTAGCCATATGGTACTCTGTCCTTGACTCTGCGCCATTGTACCCAACAATTTCCAGATACTGCCAGAGGAAATCTTGATGTGGGCATCGCCACATCTGCCAAAATAGTATTGCATTACCTCCGGCCCTCCTGATTCTAGCAAAATGCGCTGGGTGTCTGCCTTCTTTGCCCTGGCATTAACAGGTGCCTTGCAAGCAAATGCACTGGATGCCACAATCTTCACGTTCTCTCCCAAGATTACAAGCCCTTTAACGGCTAGTGCCCAACAACAAACACTATCAGAAGATGAGGCCCGGCTTGTGTTAGAGCTTCGCCTGAAGTCCTCTGTAGCAACGGTCCTCGGAATGGTGGATGCAGACACCGTAAACCACCTGAACCAGTTTGCTCAAGATGATCTCGCGCTCTTTGGGGGAGCTACTGGGGGGGCTGCTCCTAAGAAAAGTATCTTAATTCTGGAAGGGATCGACCAGGAAGTTGGTAAGTAAAAGCGGACTCGCACATGGCTGGAAACTTTAGCTAATGTCCCTGCAGCTCTAGTCATGCAAAAAGCTCAACCAACCCATATTTATATTCCTCAAATTTCATCGCCCTTTGTTGGAGTTGATCTCGTGGAATCGTTTGTCGAAAGCAGCCCCACTGCGAAAGGGCACCGTGGACAAATCTGCACTTACTTCAACGATGCTAGCAGGGCTGCTTCATCGACATCCCAGGTAGCAAAGCCAAGTTTAGTGACCTCCGGATTCCCTCGCTAATCTTTCAATCATACCAGAGTCCTAAGGAATGCCTATCCAGGGACCCTATGTTTGCTGATGGGTCTGATTTGCTTTTCCGTGATTCCCTTACACTAGTTGATTCAGTGGAATTTTGGCTTTGCAAGGATTACAATGATTCGGCTGTGAAGTTGTCCTTCAAGGTATCAAGTTTCCCCTCCCTACATACTGAAAGTTTTCTAATTCCACGTCACCAAATTGCAGAATGCATCTGGGAATTCTCTTCTTAGAAACAAGCTCCTGGAGAGATTGCTTCTTCACCTAGCTCAAATATCGTCGACCAACAATCGGGAAATCACGACTGTCGTTCTACCCCCTGGTGTCAAGCCAGAAAGAATCAGCCGCCGAGGCGCGATGCAGTCATCAACACCAGTCACTCAGCAGAATACCTTCCGAAGGTCGACGCAGAATTTTGCGCTGCGGTCAACTCTAGCGCCTGTCTGTCATGCTTCAAACTCATCGTGTGCTGAATCTACCAATGACTGCTCCGGACACGGTTCCTGCTATCTGAAATATGGCTCGGGTGTTGAGGGAACTACAGGAAACTGCTATGCATGCCAATGCAAACAAAGTTTTGTTCAAAATAGCGACGGTACCACCATAACAGTTCAGTGGGGTGGATCGGCTTGCCAGAAAACAGACATCAGCTCACCTTTCTTCCTCGTTGCAGGCGTTAGTCTGTTTGCCATCGCTCTGGCTGGCTGTGCGATTGGGATGCTTTTCAGTATGGGCTCACAGGAGCTGCCCAGTGTCATCAGTGCTGGTGTAGGAGGTCCGAAGTCTCAAATCTGAGCACATGGAAAGCTGTGTAGGTGTTAGGGTGTGGTAATTTTTTTGGTCAGCTTTTGAGGGGGCCAGGGCTTCATGTTCTTTTCCTCACTTATCCCTCGGCCTATAAGCGAATTTTACTTTGCTTTTGTTTCTTGTTACCACTTCCCTACACTGCATCAAGGGGAAACTTCTGGTTTTATCACAGCAGTACACAAATTCAAGGTGGTGCAAACTATTTTAGAGGGCACAAGGCTAAATCAAAAGAATGCGTTGCATAGCATGTACAAAAAGGTACCTTGTATGTACTCTGGTGTCAAGCACTCAGAGATATATAGATAGATAGATGATATACAAGTCATGAGTAGCCCATCCAGCCTGCTAAATGAACACTAAATCAGGTGGGGAAGAGTGGCCATCAGTAGCACCGCAGGACAACGTTCCTCGTAGCATGAAAGAGAGTGAGAGACAGACATGTACAATCCATTAATCTCCAAACGAAAGAGAAAGATAAAAATACGTCACCAGGATAAACATGCGCCCCAGCCCATGTTGCGCAAAAACCAATAAATTACACCCATCAACTCATAAACAAGGAATAAAACTCCAGCCAACATTCCAGATGTGGTTCCAGCATAAAAGTGATTTTGCAGATTAGCCAAATTGTGAAGGAAGGGTGGGGGGGGGGGGTGAAAAGGATGGCAGTCAAAGATCTATCATGTGGTACCAGCTTCGACTTGACGAGGTGTGCGTCCTTCCGAAGGCAGCGGACCCACAGGCAATGTCCCAACTGCAGGTTGCGGTCTTCTTGGCGAATGAAAATGGAAAGAAAACTGCCGGAGCCGAGTGGGAATCAGTCGAGACCAGGCAGATTGACTCGGGGCATAGACTGAGTCCCAAGGCTGATCTTGCCGACTCCGTGCATGCTGTTCTCGGGTTGGAGACATGTCTCTTTCCTGTGGAGATGTCGATTGAGATCTTCGGCTAGGTAAGCCCATCTGGACCCGGAATTCATTTATCCTGCCACCATTCCACGCAACTCGAGAAGGTCTGATGATTGCATCTGGGCGGGTCGAGGCTGTACGGCGACCCTCGCGATCTGTGGCAGGCTGTGATTCGCTCTGTGCACGGGGTTTCGGAACATAGTAATCGGCCTTGCATAGAGGGCAACATGCCCTTCTGCTAGTCAGCCAGGGGTCCACACATGAGGCATGGAAAGCATGTCCACAAGCAAGTCCTCGAATATCCTCATCGTCCTCAATGATGTCTAGGCAAATCGCGCAGGAATCTCCAGGATTGGGCAAAAGATCAGCAGGAACAGCATTAAGAATGTAGGCATCACCATCATGGTCCTCAAGATCAAGGTTCGTGTTCTCATTGGCCAATGAATGCTGCAATTTCTCTTTCTGGGTATCTGCACCGATGGATTGCTCAGTAGAAGGCATCCCGGATACTGCAGGGACCTTTTCCAAATTCGGCACCAGAAATTCATCCGGCAGCTCTTGGATAGGGGTTTGTGATGTACCATGGGAATCCACCCGTACATGACCCTTGGTGGCTAGTGGTTTTGCCGCTGTTGTCACGGTATCACCTTCGTCTTTTAGGCTCTGTGGTCTGCTATTCGGAGCTTTGATACCCCCTTCAGTTGAAAGACCCTGGTTGGCGCGAGTTGATCTCCATACTTTGTACTTGGCAAGTGGGAACCGTCCATTGACTTCATCCATCGTCATTAGCCTTTTCTCCCTTCTCCTGCGATGAGGCCGTGGCATAGTGACCAAGTCTATGGGCTCTCCTACTCGCTCACTGCGGAGCTGACGGTTTCTTTGGCTATGTCGAAAGCAATATTTGACTCCAACGATGATCCTGCGATGACTGTCAGATGCCATCCCTGAAACGCTGGCAAACTGGCCTTGATAGAGGGAATGTGAAACGACATACCATAGATTTGTGAACACAACACCAAACCCAAGAGCGACGAAGAACAGTAAAGGTGAACTTGTAGCATTATTTGAACCTGAACCCTCTCCGCCGCCACTAGCCGTAGTGGTGGCAGCACTGCTAAAGGCTGATGTTGGCGTTGAAGGCATTCCGATCAGGAAAAAAAAAGAAACCACCGCACTGATTCTACTCGGAGGGCGGCCACTTTATTATTGGAGTCTCAGTTGCCCCAATGTTGATCCTTCATGCCTTGAGTTGTGTGTACAGGGCAACCCTGTATTTAAATATCGGGCTAGACTTCAGTAGATTAAGTCAAAGGTGAGAAGAAGGTGGGTTGGAACAATCCAAGGGTATATATCCCATGCGACTGAATATTTGAAGAGTAACCTTGACGGCCTTTGATGATCGACCGTGAGCAGAGCACACGGAACTCTCTGCGAATAGAAGGTAATTGCAGAGAGTCGATCTCAAATCATCATCGGCAGTGAGAGTAGAAGACAGGTGGGAAGAGAGATGGACAAAAAGGACAGGAAGGAGACAAGAGATAGAGAGATAGACAGAAAGTGGATCAGCCCTCTTTGATTTGAAGGATGCAGATCGAAACTGACGCCTGAGGCTGCAAGTCACGGGACTTTGTCTTGTTTGATTTTTACAGAACTAAATCTGAGGTGTACGGTATTTCTACTCCGTACATTTGGACAGTATTTACGTCCTCTTCCCTTTTCTTTATGGTTCTAATTATTTTTCTATTTGGTTGCATTTTGAATATGAAATATTGCATAGGGTTGCATATTATTGCATATCCACCTTAAAAGGTACGTACATATCAAAATGGTGGCCTGCAGCAACCATACAACATAGGAGACTCTAGTATCTGGTACTGTAATTATTCCGCGCCCGGGGAATACATCGTATACGCCCCGGCTACCATCTCCAATATAGGTACATCCAGGGTTGTATAAAGTACTCTTTGTAATTTCTGGTATTGCCTTATGCAATTTGATTTCATCTGTTCTTGAAGATCTTGATAGTAAGGTAGTTCCGTAGTGTGTGATTCTCTGAAAATGCCCTTTTTTTCTCTTACTCATCTCTAGTGAAAGAAGAAGGCTGGACGTATTTACCGATGCATAGATCTATAGAATAGATGCATCCATGATAGACAAAGTGGACAAGATGCAAAGTCTCGCATGGCCGCTACACCGCTCCGTAATTCTCCACCTCCGGTTCACCTGCGAGGAGCACCAGATCTATCCAAATGCAAACTTCCCTCTTTCCATCACATCTGCCCCCTCTCCCCCCCCCAAACTTTAACATGGCTGAACCTAATCCAGTGGTTTTCTTTGATATTGCACTTGGAGGTAAGTCGGGCTTCATTTGCATGCTTTGGCTTGGCCGAGTATTCATTTGACACGAACTCTGCTAAGTAATGTAATCTATACAGGCGAGTCCCTAGGTCGAGTGAAGATGGAGTTGTTCGCCAATGTCACTCCGCGAACCGCGGAGAATTTCCGCCAATTTTGCACTGGCGAGAGCAAGAATTCCAAGGGACAGCCCCAGGGTTATAAGGGAAGCAAATTTCATCGAGTGGTATGTGATCTAGCTTCTTGGATGTCGATGCGGAACTCATGCTCGCTGCAGATCAAAGATTTCATGATACAGGGTGGAGATTTCATTAATGGCGATGGGACTGGGTCATGCACCATCTACGGCACCTTGAAATTTGCTGATGAAAATTTCACTCTCACACATGACCGTGCCGGTTTATTAAGCATGGCTGTAAGTCAGAACACATTAGGACTGTTTACCTACCTGGGTAGAAAGGGACCTTTTACTAAAAATAACAGAATTCGGGTCCAAACACCAATGGTTGCCAATTCTTCATAACAACCACGGCCACACCATTCTTGAACAACAAGCATGTGGTCTTTGGCCAGGTGATTGATGGGATAGATATTGTCAAAATGCTGGAACACACCCGTACCACTAAAGACAGGCCCAACCAAGATGTTACTATCGTGCAATGTGGAGAGATGTGATACTTAGCACGCAAATGAGATATCAGGGAAACAGCTTCCCTACTGATCCATAAGCTCCTAGATTTGCAGATTTTGAATCATGAAAACATCAATTTCATATGGCTTTAGTAACCAGGGCCTTTTTTGGATATCTCACTGTAATCGACGCAGACGTGTAATATCTCCGAGAAAAAAAAATAGTAAAAAAAAGAGGAATGTTAAATTTTGAATTTCACAGAATCCTGTCCTCAGATCTAGAGCTTGAACTTGTTCAGATAATCCGCAGCCAGTGAGATAGCCTCCTCGACCTTGTCAGCGTTGGTACCGTTACCAATGGAAGTAGGTCCCTTTCCTCCTGCCTTTCCTCCCACGGCACCAGAGACGACGGCTGCCCAGTCGGCTGCCGAAGCACCTTGATCACTCAGTCCCTGTGTTCTGATCAGTATTAAATCCCATAAGTAGTGATATTTCACCATTTGCTTCCCTAATCCAAGCAGGGTAAGACTGATGTATCCTGTTACTCACCTGAGAGATATAACATCCGTGTGAAACCCGACCTTGTTCAGAGTCAGCCGCCAAGAGATAGACACTCTTACCCTGCATCTTTGATTTGACATGGTTGAGAGATTCGCTGACAGCCTTGGCATTGGCAGAAATCGGGAGCTGGACCACAAGCCACGACTTATCCTGATTCTCAGGAGCATCGAAGTAGGAGGTGATGGTATCAACTGCTTTCTTCGACTCAAGTTTTTGTTGGGCCTTTTGGCCATCGAGAACCTGCTTATTGATCTTGGCAAAACGTTCGCGGAACTTGGCCTTTTGGACGGCGGAGATTGCAAGCTGGTTGAGATCCACCTGAACTTGTTTAGCCTCCTGCTCTTTTTCGGGACCCAAAGGCAATGCATTCAGGCGATCAAGGCGGTGTCCAAATTCCTCAGCTGCTCTCTGCACCTCATGTGCCTCCTCTCCAGTGACGGCAATGATTCGGCGAATTCCCTTGGCAATACCATTCTCCTCCAGAATGACCAAATCCTTGATGTCGCCTGTCTTCTGCACATGAGTTCCACCGCAGAACTCAATGCTGACTTCCTGCCAACGGGGATCTTTGACATTTTGTAGGATTTCCTCCAATTCCACACCGACAGAGACAACACGAACAGGATCGGGGTAGGTCTCGCCAAATACAGCCCTAACACCGGAAATTTGCTGGGCAGTGGCAAGCGGAAGTTCTTGGGAATAGACAGCACAGTTCTGTCGGATATAATCAGTCGCCTTAGTTTCGATCTTCTCGAGCTCAGCGTCAGAGATTGCGCTTTTGTGGGAGAAGTCAAATCGAAGCTTCTCGGCGGAAACCAGGGAACCCTTCTGATCAACACCATCGCCTAGGATTTCCTTCAGAGCAAAGTTCAAAATATGGGTTCCGGTATGGTTATTCCGGATGGGCCAGCGCCGGAGCTCATCATACTCGCAAATGACAGAGTCTCCGACAGCAAATGATCCGTATTTCATGAAGCCGGTGTGCAGAACGTATCCCGCGTAGGATTGCACATCGCCAACTTCAAGCTCCGCTTGTCCGTCAATGATGATTTTGCCTGTGTCATTTTCCTGACCACCCTGTTCGGCATAGAAGTTCGTACAGTCAAGAATGACACCAAGCTGTGCCCCATCGGGAACATCGTCAGTGCTATTGTGGAAAGTTTTCCCATGGTAGATAGCCTTGACATGAGAAGTGATGTTACCTCGGCCAAATTTAGGCGAATCATCCGTTTTTTGTACGTCGTTCATTTTCTCCAGCTTGCCTAGATCATGAACATCAAGCTTGACTGTGTTCTCAGCAGCCTTCTTTTGACCCTTGCTGGCTTCCTTCGCTTTCAAGCGAGCCTCTTCAAACTCGACATCATCAATACGGAGGCCACGTTCCTCGGCCATGATTCGAGTTAGGTCAACAGGGAAGCCAAAGGTGTCGTACAGTCTCCAAACATCGGCACCATGGAGCATATCGGTGTCTTTGATTTTGGCCTGTTGGGCGTATTGTTCAAATTGCCGCTCACCTCTATCCAAGGTCTTGGCAAATGACAACTCTTCCTCGTCCAAGATTTCGATCACATCTTGCTGCTTGCGCTTGAGTTCAGGGAACATTTCACCCAATTGATCAACAACAGTGGGCACTAGCTTTGCGAAGAAATTCCCGATCTCGACCTGGAAATATTTCCGGGCATACCGAGCTCCTCGGCGTAGGACACGGCGAATCACATAGCCACGACCCTCGTTATTGGGAATGACACCATCCGAGATAGCAAACATCAAAGTCCGCACGTGGTCTGCAACAACACGGTAGGCCGTGTCAATTCCATCACTATCATCGGCCCCGAAGTGGCCACGGTATTCCCGGGCCCCGGTGGTATTCTGGATAGCCTGAAAGATGGGAGTGAAGACATCGGTATCGTAGTTGGAAGGTTTGTCCTGAAGAATTGACACCAGTCTCTCGAAGCCCATTCCGGTGTCGACGTGTTTGTTGGGAAGGGATCTCAAGGAGCTATCCGCCTCGCGGTTATATTGAATGAAGACGTTGTTCCAGATTTCCAGCACATTGGGGTCGTCTTCATTGACGAGGTGAGCAGCGTTGCGCCCACCAATCCGATCATAGTGCACTTCACTGCAAGGTCCACATGGGCCTTGGTCGCCCATTTCCCAGAAATTGTCTTTCATATTTCCAGGAAGAATGTGAGATTCAGGCACGCCCACCGATTTCCATAGTTCTTTAGCTTCCAGATCCGGTTCCAATCCACCGGCTTCATTACCCTCAAAGTAAGTAACGTAAAGGCGATCGGGATCTAGCCCGTAGACTTCCGTCAACAGGGTCCACGAATAAGTGATAGCCTCTTTCTTGAAGTAGTCGCCAAAACTCCAGTTACCGAGCATCTCAAAAAAGGTCTGGGTATTTCGTCAGCACTTCTTCTGCCAAACGATAGAAATGGAGTTTAAATACTGACATGGTGATAGCTATCCTTGCCAACATCATCCAGATCCTGTGTCAGGTCAGTCAGTATACCAAGGCCCCTCAAAAACCCCTCTTAGGGTTCATCAAGGTGCACCCACATTATGTTTCCCACCGGCACGAAGGCACTATTCACTTGTATCAGTAGCGGTTCCAGGTCGGATATTTCTAGCAAAAGAACCAATACCTTTTGCGAGTTCGTTGCGCGCTTCATCTTTCCAAAGTCCGACGAGGCGTCAACGGTGCCCAGGAAGATGGACTTGAACTGGTTCATTCCCGCATTGGTGAAAAGCAGAGTCGGATCCGACAGAGGAGCGACTGGGGAGGAAGGCACTTTATACAAGAATACCTCAGGTTAGTCCATATTGTTGGTGGGGGTGGAGGGGTAGGGTAAAGAAAAAAAAGAGAATGGGCTCAACTCACCAAATGTGTGGCCATTTTGTTTGAAGTAATCCAAAAAGGTATCTCGGACTCGCTGAGCAGTCCACTCCGAGCCGAGAGAAGTCATCCTGTCGAATGTGGGAGGGTTGGTTGACAGGGAGTGAACAAAGCGAGGAGAGAATCTTCTGGGTTGGTTTCTGCGAAAGATATGAGTCAAGGCCCGTTCCCCGTTCGTCACCACCCCAGAAACCCGCATTGAGCAACCAAAGTAACTTGACCCCCGGATCTGTGCACTTGGATGTTCAACAAACTTTTTTTTTTTTTCATACACCTCCAAAAAAAGATTCGAGAGAGAGAGAGAGAGAGAAAGTGTGGATGGCGGGTGAGAAAGGTCACGGGAAGAAGCGCCCGGCCGAAGCTGACCCCGATGGCGCGCAACCTTTAACAAAGAGACTTGGACACCTACGAATAGGTAGGCAATTGAAATTGAATGTGGTAGAAGGTGTCAAGTTAACGTATTTGTAGATAATAGCGTGACAATCTCCGCTCGGGCCAAACCCAAGGGGCACATCCAGCATATTCAGCATATTCAGCATAATCAACATGATCACATTGACCACCACCAACATGACCATCATAACCAAGAGATTTCTTCCAATGATGCCATGATGTTGGATGATACCAAGCACACGACTTACATTCACGACCTGGATCAAGAATTAATGGAAGCCGACTCTCCTGGTTTGGTGTTTTTACCATTCGCAGAGAAAGTGCTTTCAGTCCCTCAATCCGTTCTATCCGATTCGAAACCCTCAGGCAAAGAACTTGTTCTTTATACAGAACCATCCTCCCTCACAGTTCCTAAGGAAAAAGATAGTGTTCGAAGAGCAATTCTTGAATCTCGAGCACGAGCTAGGGAAAACAAGGTTACGGAAGATTTAGACGATGATCCAATGGATATTGATAGTTGATGGAAGTACGGGGTACAATTATGGATATTTATGAAAGTGATTTGTATACTTTTATACCTTTCTAGATATAACGAGTAGTACTAAGTACTTGAACAAATCCAAGGTGACTAACTAACTAACTACATCTACGTAGTTCATCTGTATGGAGGAAGTAGTAACTATACACAGCAAGAATAACCGGAGCCACGTGACTCACCGCTCCCGAAAAATTTTCTGGTTTTTGTGGCTCCGACTAAAATATGCACTCGGCTTGATAAAAAAAATTTCCTCTCTCCCCCACCATCTCTCTTCCCATCCCTCCCTCAAAATCACATCTACAATTTCATAATGGCTGATTCTGAGGTTTACGACGGTGCCGTCGGCATCGATCTTGGTGCGTTTTTGATATACTGAATTTCATCGCACAACTGCTAATTAACTTTTTTCTAGGCACTACCTACTCTTGCGTTGCCAACTACGAGGGTACCAATGTCGAGATCAGTACGCTTTCGAACCCCCCAAAATTTCATCTTTACTTCAATGCTGACTATTTGATCAGTTGCCAACGACCAGGGTAGCTACACTACCCCCTCCTTCGTCTCTTTCACCGACAAGGAGCGTCTGATTGGTGACGCCGCCAAGAACCAGGCCGCCATGAACCCTGCCAACACCGTCTTCGATATCAAGTGAGTTATTGGAAAAAAAAATAAACCAACTGGCGCAGACTTGTCAATTCGAGATATGCGCATTCTCCACAATTCCAAATTCATTCTGACCCAAATGGAACAGGCGTCTGATCGGTCGCCGCTTCGAGGACCCCATCGTCAAGAAGGATGTTGAGTCCTGGCCCTTCAAGGTCATTGACCAGGGTGGCAACCCCGTTGTCCAGGTTGAGTACCTGAACGAAACTAAGGTCTTCTCTCCCCAGGAGATCTCCTCCATGGTCCTCATGAAGGTATGGCAAATTAATAACTTGTATATTCGTGGGATTTGTCCACTGACCGGTTGTGATAGATGAAAGAGGTCGCCGAGATCAAGCTCGGCAAGAAGGTTGAGAAGGCTGTCATCACCGTGCCCGCCTACTTCAACGACAACCAGCGTCAGGCTACCAAGGATGCCGGTGCCATCGCTGGCCTGAATGTTCTCCGTATTATCAACGAGCCTACTGCTGCTGCTATTGCCTACGGTCTCGGCGCCGGCAAGTCTGAGAAGGAGCGCAACGTCCTCATCTACGATCTCGGTGGTGGTACCTTCGATGTGTCCCTGCTGAACATCCAAGGTGGTGTCTTCACCGTCAAGGCCACCGCTGGTGATACTCACCTTGGTGGTCAGGATTTCGACACCAACCTCCTTGAGCACTTCAAGAAGGAGTTCCAGCGCAAGACTGGCAAGGATCTTTCCGGTGATGCTCGTGCTCTCCGTCGTCTCCGCACTGCTTGCGAGCGTGCTAAGCGTACTCTGTCCAACGCTACCCAGACCACCGTCGAGATTGACTCTCTCTTCGATGGTGAGGACCTCAACTCCTCCATCACCCGTGCCCGTTTCGAGGATCTTAACGCCAAGGCCTTCTCTGGCACCCTCGACCCCGTCCAGCAGGTTCTCAAGGACTCTGGCATCGCTAAGAACAAGGTTGACGAGATCGTCCTTGTTGGTGGCTCCACCCGTATTCCTCGTATCCAGAAGCTTCTGAGCGACTTCTTCGATGGCAAGAAGCTCGAGAAGGTAAGACTACACAGCACTACTTAATTTAACGTCAAAGCCAGTTGCTTACATCTTTCTTTTAATAGAGCATCAACCCCGACGAGGCTGTTGCTTACGGTGCGGCCGTTCAGGCCGGTATCCTCTCCGGCAAAGCCACCTCGGCCGAGACCGCCGACCTGCTGCTTCTTGACGTTGTTCCTCTTTCCCTTGGTGTTGCCATGGAGGGCAACATCTTCGCCCCCGTTGTCAACCGTGGCCAGACTGTTCCCACTATCAAGAAGCGCACCTTCACCACTGTTGTCGACAACCAGAGCACTGTCCAGTTCCCCGTCTACCAGGGTGAGCGTACCAACTGTGCTGACAACACCTCCCTGGGCGAGTTCACTCTTGCTCCCCTTCCTCCCATGCGCGCCGGTGAAGCCGCTCTTGAGTGTGTTTTCGAGGTTGACGTCAACGGTATCCTGAAGGTCACCGCCACCGAGAAGACCTCTGGCCGTACTGCCAACATCACTATCTCCAACGCTGTTGGCAAGCTTTCCAGCTCCGAGATCGACCAGATGGTCAACGGTATGTTTCTCCTGCTGACTGCACACATTTCTGCTTGACTATTTGCTGACTTTGTAATTTGCAGATGCTGCCAAGTTTAAGACCAGTGATGAGGCTTTCACCAAGCGCTTCGAGTCTCGCCAGCAGCTTGAGTCTTACATCTCCCGTGTTGAGGAGATTGTCTCCGACCCTGGAATGTCCATGAAGCTCAAGCGCGGCAACAAGGAGCGCATTGAGTCCGCTCTCAGCGACGCCATGGCCCAGCTCGAGATTGAGGACTCTACCCCCGAGGACCTCAAGAAGAAGGAGCTTGCTCTCAAGCGTCTGATCACCAAGGCTATGGCCACACGGTAAATGCATACATGCGAAGACATGAACATAGACTTATGGCCAACGAATTTCCCTCTTTCCCGGGACTCTGCTTCTCAGGGAATCTGCGCCATGTAGACCTTGGGCAGAGTTGGTCTCTGCCACGCTTTGTTTATGAAGCCGGGCAACTTGGGCGCAGTTTTCTTTTCTTGAAAAGTATGATTTGTTTTGTTTTTTGTAGACGAAGTTCTCCATCTGCAATTTAATGACATTGTGATGATCTCCTCTCATTGTAAAACTTGATTTGGTAGTTTCTACGTTGACACACATGACTTGATTTTTGGCCGCGAAGCGAAAGGGCGGGTAACATGGCAGACACTTCTGAATTGTGCGTCTCCGCTCTTATCGTCTTACAACAATGGCTTCCACCATGCAACGCATTATAACCCGATCAATTCGCTCAATTTCCCCTCGGCTTGTTGCACACCCTCAATGGATTCAAGTCTTTCGACCTATTTGTCTCCTGCCACGAACCCAGCGCGCCGTTCCTCTCAACCGGCGTGAGTTTGCCAATTCGCCTGCCCTATACAAGAAAAAGGAGAAGGCCAAGAAAACTTCGGCTTCTGAACCAGAGGAAAGCTCTAGTGTTCCTTCTGAAGATCCCTTTGATCTTTCCCAGTTACACAAAGGCATTTCCACAGCTATTGCTCGGCTAAAAGATGACCTATCCAAGCTTCGCGCAGGAGGGCGGCTCAATACTGCAGTCCTAGAAAGCTTGAGGGTCCATCTGAGCAAAGACAGCAAAGATTCGGTCAGACTGGGAGATCTGGCACAGGTTGTGCCCAAGGGTGGACGCATGGTTACTCTTTTGGCGGCTGAAGAGGGTGTAAGTTAATGATGTTCGACCGTTCTGATCCCCACCCCCCAACTTCTTTCTTGTTACGGCATGAACCTGCTACCAGTGTCCAAGCGAACCAACTCTAATGCATTTGAGCAGCACTTGAAACCTCTTACTTCAGCGATTGTCTCCTCAAACCTCTCCTTGACCCCTCAGCCCGATCCTCACAATGCCCTCCAGCTCAACATTCCTATCCCACCGCCTACAAAAGAATCCAGGGACAAGAACGTCCAAGCTGCCAAGCAAGCATTCGAAAAGGCTGCCGGTATAGTACGTGACTCTAGGGGTGCAATGCATAAACGTCTCCAGGATATGCAGAAGAAGAAGCTAGCTCGACCAGATGACGTGCGTAAAGCTCACGATCAGATGGAGAAGGTTACAGATCAGGGCCAAAAGGAGGTGAAGGATGAATTTGAAGGGGCCAAGAAGACATTGGAACAGGCCTAAAAAGCCCAATTGGCAAGACAAGGAACAGTTGTGAAAAAAAAATCATAGCCTATGGCAATGGGCGTTTGTTAAATAAATTTGTGTAAATCTAGGTACAGACATTGGCATAATTGAGGAGGATATGGAGAGAATATAGGAAATGAACTCGGTCAACGAAACACATATAATACAAATCGCTTCTAGCACTAGTCCAAATACACTTAAACGCTCTTGGTCTTGCGGCCAGCAGAGACAAGGGATTCAATCTTGGCCATGAACTGTGAGGTCTTCCCAGTTGTCTGGTAGGTCCCGTTGTTCCTGAGATTCATTGACACCTCTCTCAATACGGCATGCCCATCTTTCCCGACTTCAGGCGTCGGGTAGTTCCCCTGAACAAAAATTTCCATGAGAGACTTGGTGTCTTTTGCGTCGATAGGTCTAAACTCGACATTCCGAGGCTCCACAAGATCACCCTTGCGCTGTGAAATTCGATCAGCACGAAGCTGAGCCAATCGCTTGGTCTCTTCCAAAGCCTCGGCCTTCTCAGTCTCATTTTTGAACAAAACGCTCTGCCCCTTCCACAAGCGCCTTCCAAGCTCATAGGGCGGGATATAGCCATTGGCAATGCGGCCACCTAGGCCGGAAAGTTTTTCATAAACGGCAGCCGAGCGCGAGTTCACATCTGTGGGAATTGAAGGCCAGGTTTCTCTCAACGTAGAGTAGTTGATCTCCTGAGGCTCATAGCGAATAGGGGTTGGCCGTGATTTGATGATTTGCTCTTGCAGAACTTGGTCGATAGCCGCCGCTTCGGCATCTTCGCCCTCGTCATTCTCGGAAGTTTTTGCGTTCCTGCGGGGGCCGTTAAGGTTACCCTTAGCGGCTTTGGCGGCTTTGGCGGAGGGTTTGGGCTTGCGATTTGGGAATTGGTTGCCGCCTCGAACATTGCGTGATCTCGGGCTGCGGATAATCTTAGGTTGCTCTCCACCGCCAGCTCGTGCCGCCGCAAAAGATCTAGCATCAATCACTCGAGGAGGACGAGATTGGTACTGGTTGGTGCGAGCTGGGGGCCCATTGGGATGGCTGGTACGTGCTGGGGGGCCAATGGGTTTGCGAGGCCGGTAGGAAGGCGTGGCTGATGCAGGGCGGGTATTGGGGTTACGGCTCTCTAATTGGTGTGTTAGATTTCAAACTTCCAATGGCCCAGATTTCTGAGGCTAAATTGGACAACTGCATCTATCTTGCTCAATATCCCCCTGGAAGCACTCACCAGATGGTTGGTCTCGACCTTCGCCAGCAACTGTACGAGTACAGGAGAACTGGCGAGCAGGTGTAGAAAGACCAAAATTTGCTCTTTCACAGTGCAGTGAGATCTGCCTCAACTGTGACCGAAACATATTGTATTCTGAATGAATAGAACGTTTTGGTAAAGAGACTCAATGCCGTTCGACGCGGAAAGATTGAATGAAGAATTGCAGTCACGTGAGGCACCGCCTTCCTCTGGGGCTCTGCGCAAGTAAACGCAGCCATCGTCAAGTCTCCCTTTAATTTATTGCAACACCTTTCAAACCACCAAAATGCTTCGTCGAAAGCCAACAGCGATAGCTATCACTTCCGAGGATATAAATGCATTTGAAGAAGCCAGACTTCGCAAACTGTCTGAAGAAAACAAACATTCAGAACAGCACGCAAAGGGAACCTCCAATGTCAACCTTGACCCCAGCGATGAGTTGAAACCACTTCCGGGTGATAAGGCTAGGATTGTCCGGACCCGTGAAGAAAGGATAGGCATTAGTCGGCGTGGTTGACTGTGTACACCGGCGATCTCGAGCGCTCATATCATCGTTGCGTGTTGGAATGACTTGTCCCACACCACGACACTTGGATACAAGGTACATGACCCAGTCGTGATATGCTTGCACGTATTCATTAGCCCTTGGATCACTTGAATCTCTCTTTTGGGCCTCACCATTCACCATTAACAAGAAACAAATAGTGCAGGATCTCTGCCGTTGAAAACACAACCCCCGTCCCATACATCACAAACCATCTTCCTCTTATTACAGCGCGTGGCCGAACAAGCATAGGGTGTGGTGCTTTTTAAGCGCCAGATGATGATGACATTGATAGTACATGGGTTTCCCTGTGCTAATATCTCACCACATCTCACTATTTCTCATTATTTCTCACTATTTTTCACTAAATCTCCTTCTGGCGACCCATTGGTTAAACATCGATTCAACACCGGAAAAGTGAAATGGAATGTTGGAATGGAATATCTTGCCGACATAAACAGAAAACAATGTACGCTACTTCGTTCATCAGAGCACATCCATCGGGCATCTTGACCAGAACTGAAGCTTTGAGTGACCTGTCTCCTTTGGCATTTTGAGACCTTTTTCTTCCAAACAGAGTTTGCAGTTCAAAAAATCGACACAAAGCTACAAAGGTACTGAAGAGTGAGGACAAACTGAGAATCCCTTCAGCATATAACAAGTGCTATCTTCCCACCGCTCTACAGATATGTCCCTTAATCTGAATTGTGTGTTTTCCACGACTATCAACTCTTTTCTTAATCCAATCTACCAAAGAGACGAATCAAAGGAAGCTTGTGATGTGTGATTCATGCGTCAAATACCATCCCAGCCGGCCAGAGACGTCATGATGTTTGGACATTTTTACCCTCAAATTTTTCCCCATTGAGCCGTTGTTATGTCCTCTGGCGATTGTAATGTAAAAAAAGAAGAGAGAAAGATTTTGTCAAAAAAAAAAAGAAACTAGGGAATACAGAGTGACAGTAGCAGTGGTTGCCTCGGATAGTTGGACAAAAACCAGCAGGCTTAGAAGAGGAAAGATTGTGTGACGGAATTGAAAAGAGACAAGGTCGCAGGTAATTTCGGCATTTTTGCAACTCATCTTTGGCGTTTGGACATGTTGTCGGGGTTAACATCAACTGGGTAGTTCCATCGCCGTTTCAGCCCTTGTGGATCATACACACTAGCAACACTTTGCTGCCAGTCTCGTGCTGAAAACACAACCGGGGGCGCCTGGAACTGGGGAGGCGAGAGAGACTGGGTAGATGTGGTGGAGGGCACTTTGTTAGGTGTCTCGTACATGGGGTATTGGGGGTTCATAACATTTTGTAAACTCGGTACTGAATTGTCTATAGGCATTGGCGGGGAGTTTGCGCTAACGGTAGCGGGGTTCACGGAGAAAGCCATATCCCATTGACTAGAGCGAAAAATATTAGTGAGAGACCAAACGATAGTCGAGTCGTCGAGAGAAGTGAATTATGTACGTACGTGATGATTCGGGTCGGGTCCCAGTGGGTTTCATCGACCGAAGGGGCATCTAGAGGATGAGTTGTTGAAGGCTGATGAGCAACCATCCCGAGGGATTGTATCTGAGAAGACGTGTCGGACTTCGAGTCTTCAGCGCCATTCGAAATCGGAGGGGTTACTGGAAGCGGATTGTAACGCACTCTGGAATGGAGTTGATTCAAGTGCGGGTGGTAGTGCGCATCCATAGGTGGACTGGGATGGTAGGGCTCCGAGGGACTCCCATATGGGAAACTGGGCTTCAACTCAAAAGGACGATGCATATCGGCAGAGAAAGCTAGTCTTAAAGAATCGATCTGAGCTTGAATCTCGGGCATGGGCCAGGCGGTAGAACACGTCTCGAGAATTCTCATGTGACGGGTGAAGAATTCACGGGCATCCGAGTTGAACTCAGGGTCGGGGGATGTGATTGCTATCTGCTCATATTAGAATGGCCTTAGTACGAAAAAAAAGACTCCCATGGAATGTTTAATGCTTACCAGGTGAAGCATTGTACAAGTCAGGATACAATAAATGGCAAAATTGATGCCTCTTTGCATGAAAAGTAGGCCAGATAGCCCGAACCGTTGCAAGGTGGCTTCTTGTAGTCGACAGAGGCTTTTGGCTGAGGAATAGCACAGTGACATGTGGATCTTCCATTCGCCACCAGCTGCAAAAGATTGAGAAGCGAAAAGTTGAGGGCGATGTAACATGATTATGGCGAGGTGGCAATGAGAATGCATATTACCCACAAAGTGAGATGGGAGCCACGGTGGAGAGCCATCGGGAGGATAATTGACTTGTAGGTCTGGAGGAAGGTTGCGAAGCCAGTCTGCGAAAAGCGGGTTGTTTTGTACAAATCGGGCATCTGCACCCCAGTCCTTTTGCTTTTTAACTTTGTGATAGATATCTGTAATGATGCGGATGTGATGTGCGTTGCGAACGAAATAGGCGTATTGTCTTGAGCGGTCAATCTCATAGTGATCGAGACCTCCGATGTCTAGTGTCGGACGCATCTCCACTGTTTCAGGATCGACCCCGTAGTCCGAACGGCCTACTTTGATCAGAAGCTGGTTGATTTTTCATAAACGATGGGATGAAATCGACTTACCTTGAGGCCCACCGATCATCACCTCAACCACCAAGAGAGCCTGCCACACTCTGGTATGCACCAAGCAATCAATTGGACCGAGTCCACACGGCTTGCCTTCAGCGTGATTGCTGTAATGTTCGTGAATGTCCAGATCTTTCGCCATTGTGACAATAGTCTTGACAGTCTGCCAGGACCGATAATAGTACCCTTTCTTTGGCAAAGATTCCCTTGCTTTTAGTAGCAGAAGTAGTGCTTGTATAGTACTTAGACGTGGTACATCCATAAAGCTAGTCTCGTGCCCTGAGAGATGTCAGCTTTCTGAAGATAGGGTGGTCAAATTTTCAGCATCAACTCACTATTGGCCAGGGCAAGCCACTGAGCACCTTCTGCGGGCTCGTCAGATAAACGGCCCGCACAGGCAAAAAGAGCCTCGAGAAGAAGGGGAGAGATGGAATGACGATCATGCTGCCATTGGTAATACAGATGGGCACGAGATACGACGGGAACATAGGGATGTATCTCATCAAAGTAGATCTTGAAATAAGCCATCACGTCGTCTTCAGCTGGCATGAGCTCAGGGGGAATTCGAATCGTCACGCCCGATCCGGTTCTGAAAGGTGGAAATTGCTCTTCAACCTCATCCTGGACAGGAGCGTCAGGCTCAATTCGATCGGTGCGTTGCCTTCTGATGTATGGGGCTATCGACGAGGGTGGGGTGTTAGCCATTAGTCGGAGGGAAACCTGAAGAAGGACGATGTGCCATACCAATCCCACTCTCGTCAATTTTTAACTCCCCGAGTACATCACTGAGGTTTTCTGCAGTTGATTGATCATTATCAACATACACATTCCGATCTGACGATCTCATAGACGGAGTCTGCGGCCCGGGGAACATTTGAGGCTGCTGAAAAGTTTGGTGCGAGATTGCAATTTGCGGTGACTGAAGATCGTTGTAGATGCTGGGTTGAACCTGAGGAGGGACGAATTGGGAATACATGCTCATTTGATCATATGGGGGGATAGTGTTCATGGTGGGTTGACTATTACCCTTGAAGGCTGGAGCCAGTGGAAATGTACGAGAACCCTCGGCTACATTGGCGGGCCCTGCGGTTTCTAAAGTAGACTCACCCTGGCCATCAGGGAGAAAATCTCCATCTTGCCCGATGGTCGGAGGCACACAAACCAGCTTTAGACGAGTGCACGCAGAACAAGGCCAAGTATTTGTCGTGGCTGCGTCACACTTGATTTTCCTTTTCCGGCAACCGTTACAGGCTCGCATCACTAAACGTCGGGCCTGTCAGTGTTTGCTGGCTTGTGATGGACGCTTCTCATACCCTTCAGCCTCTTGTGGCGGTTATGTTCATCAACAAATACATAGTCTGTACCGATAAACAGTTAGTTGCTAATGCAGCAGGCACGGAATAGATAGTGTTTGAGAGACATACTTTTCTGGCCCTCTCTCGGGGGGCCCGATGGGGGCGCAAATGAATAACCTTGCATGCTTGCTCGTTTGACAAAAGTGTTGAGGTTGGAAAGCGTAAAATATGACGGAACTCGGCAAGTACCAGGGTATCAAGAGGGAGAGAGAGGGAGAGAGAGGGAGAGAGAGAGAGAGAGAGAGAGAGAGAGAGAGGTAAAAAAGAAAGGCCCGCCATTGCGCGGCGGCTGCACCGTCGATTGCGGATTGCACTCTTCCCACTTCTGGAGTCAGCGCTTGCACTATTTCCATTGCCATCTATTTGGGGTACAGATGGCACAAGCTACTATCTGCAAGGTCCACCATCAAGAAACGGCTCAAATCAGTCCCAGGGCCAAAGGATTTCCCTAAATCTTTCACCGGACATCGGCCGAGCCTTGTCCCCTCTCGGATCTCTTGCTGTGAAGAGGTGGCCGGTCGATCGCCCCGGGTCCGCAATCTCTTCATTCATAGTTCCGGGCTGCCGACGGCAGTATACCATTGCAACTTTATCTACCCTTATTTTCGAAGTCAAGAGCAACTACAAGACCCAGGCCTTTGCTAGCTTTGATTTGGTTTTAATGGTTCGGAAGATCTAGGCGTTCAGACGGGCCGTGAATAACAGTGGAGAGAGAAAGAGGAAAAAAGCACGTCACACCTAGGGATGTAGAGGGGACAATCAGTGGCTCAGAAAGAACCACGAAACTCGGGTGGCTTGAAGTCGATCAAGGGTCTGTTCCGTCTTTTCCAGTGCCAAGTATGGAGGACAAGAAGACCAGTCAGAGGCTAGGTGGTTACCAAAACGAGTCAATTGAAGAGAAATGAGATGAAAAGGATAGAAAAAAAAAAGCAAAGAAAGCAAAAGAAAAGAAAAAGAAAAGAATCCGCAAAAAAAGAGCGGTTAGTCCAGAATTGGTCCACCCAATTTGAGCCCAAATTGGAATGAGAGGTTCACACGTAGCATCGTAATCTCAACGGAGAGACCCCATGATGATGCATCCACAAATTCCTCTAAATTGCTTTTTTCATTCTTTTCATTTTCTTGATTCTTCTGACAGTTTGATTTTATGTTGTATGGTGATGGGTGTTGATCATGTTGCCTAAGAGAGCCTGGAATGGGTTATAGGTCTACAATCTACTCCGCACTCCGTACACATAACCCCGATCCCAATAGTCGAGATAGCCGGGATAATTCTTCGCCATAGAAAAACATTCTCACCTCAGATGAACAGAGGTCTTCCTGGTTGATTTTTTTTTTCGATTTCTTCCCTCTTAATTTTCCAGCGTGTGCCCAAACCAAAAAAAAAAAAAAAAAAAAGCCCAGAGTCAGATCCCAGCAAGGGAGGGGGGGGGAAGAGCAAAGAGACGCCGAACAGCAAGCCAACTCGACCCCAGTACACCGCTAATTTCTTAGAAAAACCTCATGAGCCAACGTGAAAAGAACAGGGCCAAAGCCCCCTTACGTTTTTGTTCTCTCTTTCTTTTTTTCCCCCTCCCCTATATTCTTACCTAGCATCTATCATCCACCACTGGATTCCCCACAAGGAGACTAGACTATTCACGGACTTGCTTTCCAACTGGGTCTAGGTTGACAGATGTCAATTCCCACGCTTTCCCTAAAAAAAAAAGATTGATGACAGCTAGGGATTCGCCGGTTACTTTTTGGTTCCCTGATATGCATTGACCACCATACATGGAGCTAGATTCAATGGTTAATTTAAGTGACTTCGGGAAGATCATGATCGGAAGACGATTTCCATCAGGTTATTTCCCAAGCATTTGTGCAAGTGGCGCCGGTGACGCTCGCCACACAGACCCTTGAGAGGTCGGTGAACATGGGGCCGGGAAAATACGGGTCTAACTCCAGACGTGGATAATCTTCCATGGCATTCTTAATTGGTTTTATTTTGTTGAGGACAAATCCTTGGCACTAAGGTCTCTCTAGTCTCATGCTATGCAATCGTCTTCTGCGAACGGGGTGAGATCCTGTTTTCTTGCAGACATTGGGCCACCATAAAGCAGGTACTAGTCAGCCTCGCACAGTAAACTAAGAGAGCTCCGGGAAAAAAAATCACCAAAAGAGTAAGAGGGGAGGGGCCACTACTGACAGATCCCTGCACCGCAGCTCGCTATCGACGGCCCGATACCCGCTGCACATACAGCGTACAGTAGTTAAGGGGGGGAGAGGGAGGGGGGGGGGGGGGGGAGTCCGCCTAAATCGACACACCAATTCTTTACGGAGCACTGAAAAAGGAAATAGCTTTCCGCGCCCCGGAGGTTTTCAGGGCTGAATGACAAAGTAAAGATTGAAATGAGAGGGTGGTGGGCCAGGACTCGGGTGTGGCTTTTTCGCACACTATTGTTTTTACTTAATTTTCCTTTTTCTTTTTTTTTTTTCTTTTTCCGTTTCCTTTGGTATTGAGCTTCTCCGACAGAAATGAAGCCATCGAATTCATCAACATCAGTAAGGAGATCCACTGGTAGTGCAGTTATTGGAACGGTAACTCCACAGTTCTGGTGTGATGCATCAAATGGAACCGTTGAGCCGAAAATGTAAGGAGACCAGGATATGATAGGTACACCTAGGAGGAGCCATCACAGCATTATACAACATAGTAAGAATGCCACCCATGGCGAGCATTTGAAATCGAAAGGTCAATCTTTATACGGAGTACCTAGTCACCTTCTCTCCCACAGAGTAGAAGAATCAAAGTCTAACTCATCAATTCTTTTACTGATCGTCCTCCGGGGTCTTCCGTGCGACTATCAGCTCGGTGGATCACATAAGATGGTTAGATGTTACATACGGAGACTAGAGAAATCCTTCCAAGATTAGTATTTATCCATAACCAGGCTCCCTTCCCGAAAACCTCCACCGCACTGTTTACGCCGTCAATCTCGCGTCGATCGACGGGTTCGTCCGTACCTTGCAGCGAGTTACCCTGCAGACTCTGTCCGTGCAGATTTCTGGCTTTTTCAGGCTTTTCTCGTAAGATCAGACTAAGGACTTTTAATCTCTAATTTTTTTTGGGGGGGGGAGGGGGGGGGGTTCTAAGTTTTGGTTTTTTTGGTTTTAATATTTCTTCGTTTCTGACTTTTTTCCGAGTTGCACTATAATCATCTGTGCGGGGCTTTCTTTTTTTTTTATGTTCCGATTTCTGCCCTTGAATGTTTCACCAGGGGCTTGCCATGCTTTCCCCACGCTGTACGGAGGACCTCACACTTCCCAAGAGGACATAAATGCCCGAAGCCGTCTGGGCGGACGTTGATGTCAGATAAGGCCGTCAAACTGACGATCGGGGACACGTACAATGGGGACAAGGCCTTTGAGGGAGTGTGTGATACAGCATAATTACGGAGTACGAGTGTACATCGTGAGACTTGGACACGAGGAGAATTGGACCAAAAGCCGATGACTTACAGGGATGTTCCCTGCAGTCTATTGATGTGTTGTACAGGAATGGGGCAAATTAAAACTGCGAATCGACCGAGATAGCCTCCGTATAGGCCCGTCTACTGCTAAGTCCACATTGACCAGAGGTCCTGGCCCAAGAAGGCATACAACATCGACGTGATTATCCACCCAAGGCACGGAGTACTCCGTATATAGCCCTGAAACATGATTGGAATTGTGACTCTACTTTCCATCTGACTGGGGTACAGCATAATTTTGCTACCAGACGCCACTCACTTCCTTTCGCAAATGACAACGCACCACGAAGCCAGGATCTGGCGTGATGGAACTCGGCTGGGGCCGTGCAACCTTCGATTTAACCGCGCATTGCATTGTCCCGTGGAGCCAAGAGATCGACTGCACGTTCATCTTGCCTTTACGGAGTACACATTCGAGCGCTTGTGTAGCAAAAGAGAAAGAAGAGGTCCAATGACTGAACACAAGGTAGAGAGGTAGGTTGGAGTATTTGGGTACGTTATACAATATCAATGACCACCTCCCCCTCGTGAATTCCTCCAATCCAAAAGTCCGAGTTCTGGAAGAACCGCCATTACCGTGAGTAAGCGTGTTCTCGAGTCTTTTGCTTCCTTTTGCTTTTGTTCCAGTGACCAAAGTCTAGTTCAGAACAAATTTCACCTGAAAGTCCTCATATCTCCGAAATAGTCAGGATGGCTCGGGCCAAATGTGTAACGAGACTAAACCCCCCCTCCCCCTCCAATCCCCACCTATCCACGCCATTGGCGCCAATGATTGGCTTTGCGCACCAGCAGCTCGCCGATCGATGATCCGACGCAACAATGACTGGCTGGGGCAACAACCACGTAGGAAGGGCTAGATCGTGTGGATTCACCGCCAGTTGCCCCCCCGCCCCCCCCCCTTGCGTACAGACGTGGCACAGAGCATTATTTCATACTCCGTACGGAGTAGCTCCATCTGGGTATGCAGTGACCCGCTGCTGTGGAGGTTTGATGTTTGGATGTATGTCGACCGTTGGTTGTCTGGTTCATATGGACTTCTTATCCCCTATAGAGTACAGAGTATGTTGTATAGGTGAGACAAATATTAAAGGATCTAAGAATGAATTTTGTTTGTTTTTTTGGGCCCAAGGGCAACATCCTCAAACTCGCCGATGTCGGGCTATTTTGGCCGATCGGCGCAACGTCAGAGGGCAGATAAGGAAATATAGAAAACATGAAGGTTCAACTTGGATGTACGACATGGAAACAGGCCACTCTTGTGGGATCTAAACTTGCTTTCGATGTTGTACAGATTTACAGTCAAATCGACTTGGTCAAAAAGTAGGTCTACCAGCTTCTGCATTACCACATTTCAGCCCTTTGAACAAGTTAAAGGAGTCATAGGCATCAGTGTAGATCATGAACCTTTCCGCAAAAGCCCATGTGATACTAGCATAGTATCAAAATAAGCAACTCTCCCCGGTGTCGCTATATCATCCCTGATAATGACAATGATTGTGCAAAAAAAACACAAGTCTAAAACAAGGAGACCCCAGGCAGGAACACCCCAGACCTAATCTCAATAGACAGGATGCGAGAGCGAAAGCAAAAATTCCCTACCCCCCCCCCCAAAAAACGGCCCCAAATAAGCCCAAATAAGGGATTGAGTAGTGCGCTCACCGTCTCTTCGCTACCACAGCTCACATTTTATAGTATGTACAGTGCATCTGACACCAAAACACGGGCCGTCCACGCTTCCATCTCCCCGGGGAGGCGTCACTAGTCGATTGAAGAATGCAAATACCATGCAGCGTGCAGCCTAAGCTGCAGGCATCATGTACGATGAACCAGCGCCAGACTGACAAGCTAGCTGCCAAGTGCCAACGCAGGGCTAAAAGCAAGCATGTTGGGGCAAGTGCCGCTCACGGACTGGGTTGCTGTGCATGAGATAATGTACATGTACCTAGTTCAACGACTAGAGCCCAGCCTGACTACTGTCTATGAATGCGAACCATGCCCGGGTTGTAGGCTAGCGCGCGTGGGGATTTCCACATTCTTGAAACATGTCTCCCATTCATATTGTGCATGGAGTGCATACGGGTGGTGTGGATGAGTTTGGGGTGTGTACAAGACTGATTTGATTTGATTTGATGTTTTTGTTGGGGGGGGGATGGAAATTACTTTGCTCTGGTTGGTGCGCGTTGGGGAATGTCTGGGGGGGGATGATGGAAAGGGAAATGGGGTTGGAATATCATCCAAGGTTCTTACCTGTGTGTTCAGGCCTCACTGTGCAGACGTATTCACCGCTGGTTGAGGACTTGCATTGACTCCAAGTCTCGTGTCTGTCAAGGGATAATCCGTGTTTGTGGTGAGCTGGTATTGGCGGTGGGAGGTTGGTATATCCCTTGATTGGGGAGTTGGGTGGCAGGATTGGATTTGTTGCTGCTTTTCTTCGTAGACCGGTTGTCTCCCGTGAGAAATTGGTAGGAATAAGTTTGAACGACTTGGTCTCGACTTTCTGCGGGAACGGCTGATGAAAGCTTTGGTTTTAATGCTTATTCTCGGGTTTGTTCTTATGCTTATGCAGTAATTGTGCTTCGATCTCAATCTGATAAGGGTGGCGATGATAATGCAATCGTTTACGCACGGCGGATCGGTGCTGACGGCGTCGGTGCATTGACTCGAGGAGACGGACATATCTGCAGTGCTCTGTACTATGTAAAATGTAGACCTGAACTCGCTTCTGGAAGGCGTGGTTGATGCAGTATGCTGTCTCCCGTCGTTCATGTAGGGATGCTACGGTTCCTGCTGATCGATCGCCAGGATCATATCTGTACCTTTCCACAGCAGAATACATGAGTCAAAGTGTTCGAGGTGAGCCATTAGTCTCGATAAGTGGTTGGGGGGGCAATAATATGGTAAATAAATATATTCAGAAGTGGCGCATCTCTCAACATATATATTTGCTTCTCGGATGAGAAACTAAATCGCATAGCCAGCGCGGACTACAGTTTCTAGACGCTTAAATGACAAGCCCCAACCAGAAGATACAGATACACCCCACCACGCAAATATCATATGAACGAAAAGAGAGTGTTTGTCCATTGAAGTAACCCTTAAGGCTAAACAATATTCCGACAAAGTTCTATACCCGACCCAACCATATTCATCAAGATTTTTACATGCATATCTCATCAAAGACACAGAGCATAACAACCCATCAGGGCTGGTGTATTCATCGCTTACCCGCCTGAGCAAAGACCTGTTGCCAAATGTCGATCCACTGCTGATGCTTATAGGACAATGGACGGTGGGGGTTGCGGAAAGTGTTCGAAAGGATCTCGCGCAGGCGGCTGTTCAGGATCTTCAAGGCTAGCATAGACCTCCAATCTCGCACAGCAAATCGAATACGGTTTGCGTCAATGGAGACGACACCAGAATACATCTGTTTTAGCGGGAGTTAGCTTACTGCCGAAAGAAAGGGAGGAAGGAACCGCGAAGGATCACTGTCGTACCTTGAACTCAGCATCACCACACAGCAAAGCTATAGCGAAATCGTCCACTGCACTGGTATCATGCGCGTTGAGATTGCGGGCACGTGCCATGATGCTGTAGTACGACAGCCATTTGACGGACGAGTCCGCCCTCTTGTTGACAGAAACGGCGGGTAGTGTGACCGTCTGGTTGTTACCAACGTTGCGCCAGCCCTTGCCTTCGCGCGTCAGAAGCTTAGGATAGAAACTCCAAGCGATGACCGAGTTAATCACAACATCGTTATTGCTGTTGATGTCGAAAACTTCAGGGATTATGAAGAATTGGCGGTTTCGGCTGTTGGAGCGTGCACTGTAGTGTTGGTTAGCAGTTGTCGAGCGGAGATATGATGTTTGGACAAAATGGCCTCTTACCGGTTGAGGGTCACTTTCTGTGATGCATCCAGGGTTAGAAGACCTGCATCTGCAATTGACACTATCAATTGCATTTTGATGTCCTCGATCGCCAGCAATGTCTGAGCACTGAGGAAGTTCTTTCGACAGAAAGCATACTCGTTGGACCCAGGGGTGCTTCTTGTGCGTCTCCAACTGCAATAGGCGTTGTATACGGTCAAGAGATCCGAGTCACCTAGTGATTGTTAATTATCAAGCGTGGGATATCGATATGTTGGGACACACCTCTTCGGAAAGATGCCCGTGCGCCATCGCGTTGTGAATTGGATCCGATTGTGTTCACAAATGGCGACTTGGAAGAAAGAATAGCTGCAATGCTGACGGTTGCATCCAAGCACCGGAAGAAAGCTCCATGAATGATCATCTTGCCGAGGAAGACATCCAGGGGCAACTTAGCTAGTTGTGTGCCGAGAGAGGTTAGACTCTCGTTGCTCGTCAAGGCTTTTACTTCCTTCAATGAATCAATGGCGCGGCGAATATTTTTCGAGGACGGCGGGTCAAGAGCCTCGAGAAGTGTCTGCTCCACTTCTCCCAACTTGCAGATCTTCACACGGAGCACCAGATCCTGCAAAGAAAGGCGCAGCAACTCAGGGGTTTGCTGTTCAGAAAGCAACTTTTCATGACGATGTTTAGTGAACAGGTGGAAGCAGATACCGTTCTGAACACGTCCAGCACGACCGCGACGTTGTTTAGCGTTCGCACGCGAAATGAATGACTCGACCAGACGGGACAATTGGCGTCTCTCATCGAATCGCATGATCTTCTCCTTGCCTGCATCGACCACGGCCGTGATGTCCGGGATGGTGATTCCTGTTTCCGCAATATTCGTTGCAATAACAATCTTTCTTGTGCCTTCTGGGGGGACGTTGAAGGCCTTTTCTTGGTCTTCACTGGCAATGGAAGAGTGAAGTGTGTGCACAACCCAGCCCCTCTGGAAAATGGGCTCGGACAGGATCTCGTCGTTCAGGCGACGGATTTCCGCCAGACCAGGCATGAAGATCAGGATCGCCTTGCTGTAGTGAGCCATCTCCGGGGCCGTAGCAATCTTCAGAAGCAATCTCTTGATCAAGTCATAGTCGAGCCTGTATTCGTCGATGTTGATGACAGTCTCCTTGGTCTCCCTAGAGTACCCATCAAGACTGGCTTGGAGACCTCCTATGGTGTCGGCATCCGTGGGTGGGTCATCCATATCATCGTCGAGGACTGTCTGCTGGGCGTCCTCCGACAAACGGTAGTTGGTCATCTCGACCGCATCCTCCAGATACTTCATTTCTACAGGGAAAGTTCGCCCTGGGATGTTCAGAACTGGCACCCCGCCGAGATAATTTGAGAAACGTTGGGCATCGAGGGTGGCTGACATGAGGATAAGTTTAAGGTCGGGTCGCTTCTCCATGAGTCGTCGGAGTACGATCAGAAGGAAGTCACTGTCGATAGTGCGCTCGTGAACCTCATCGAGAACCACATGAGTAATGTCTTGGAAGTCATCGGGCCGCTCGAGCATTCGTACAACCACTCCCGTGGTTCTATAATGTATTAGTTGAGCAACCACAAGATAAAACCTAGAGGGAACTGAGCACTCACGCATAAATCAATGGCGTTGATTGAGTAAACTTGCTCTCCAACCGTACTGCAAATCCAACGAGTGATCTGTTCGTGCCCACGTCGTTCTTGCTCTCTCCAAGCTCCTCGCTGACACGCCGAGCAAGCGAGATTGCAGAGATACGGCGGGGCTCGGTCACATAGATCTTGCATGGTCGGCCTTGGATCATCTCATGCTCGAGAATAAAAGACGGAATCTGTGTACTCTTTCCACTACCTGTTTCACTGCAAATGATCAAAGTTCCATGATCATCGAGCGTGTTCAGGATCTCATCTTTGAATCCCCATATTGGGAGGTTCATTCTCCCCTGCATCATGCGATGATAGGAAGGCGTCGACGATGTAGCCATCCATGCTTCTTTCAGGCGGTCATCAACACTTGCGAAATTGTCGCGCGCAGACCCCTTCATCGGGTTGCCTGGCTTGCTACCAACGCCGTTTCTCTTCCGGAAGTTGTCAGATAGAACAACATCATCTTCGAAGGTGCCTTGGTTCTCTTGGATCAGAAGTTTCAACTCCTTCACTGTAGTTTTGTCGATTTCATCCTGTTGGGTCTTCTGCAGTGTTGCAAACTCAGTCCAAAGTTCTCTCCAAACCGCCGGCAACCGCAGGTAGGCCTTGCCCTCCTTGGAATTCTGGGGGAACAAAATGAACAAAGCCAAAGTCGATACGTACCCCTCAGCCTGCTGCGCATTCGGTGTTGCAAGGGCATCCATTGACACGAAAGTAGCCAGAGAATTTGACTTGTGTGCAATCGATTCCACTGCTAACGGGAATGGGGCTTCTTGGGGCTTTGACCATCGCACTTCGAGAGCCTTTCTGTTTGAATGACTTGAAGAGGAGAAGTCTTGGTAGACAACCACGCACGATGAGTCTTTTGATTTGCAGGTCTCTTCCAAGACTCGTCGTGGGCTCAGGCCTGTCGATTTTCCGAAGTCGCGGAGTGTGAATGAGATCTGGGTCTCTGGAGGGGGAATACCTAAGATCGAGCCTGAATCCTCAGTTTCGCCTTGGAACAAATCCCCAAGGGCGTCCTCCATTCCGTCGATCGCAAGGAGGGCCGGATCTAGCTCTTCGTCAATCTCGGGTTTTGGCTGTTCTTCTGCATCGGTCGGAGACTTTTTCTTTCTGCCCACCGGGCGCCGAATAAATGAAGCATCTTTTTTTAGCTCGTCAAGCTTTTGCTCCCAAATGTACTCTGCTTCTCGGCGTTCAAATAGGACATCACGTTCGATCTTGGCAATCTTCCGCTGTAGTTTAGAGGTTTCAGGGTCATCTGAGAGGTTTCCAGCGCCACCGCGACCTTTCTTACCCTTTCCGGGGCGATCAAAGAGATCTGGCTGCAGGCTGTAAAGCTGAGTCTGCAGCTCCAGCCATTCGGGAACCATGATGTCTGGGTCGACTGAGCTGTCCGAGTCATATGAAATAGGAGGGGCAACCTTTGCTGCCTTCCAGTCATCCTTCTTCTTTCCTTGCTTGCTTCGATTTTGGGATGAAACAGGAGTCGAGGTTCCTGAAGCTTTCGATTCTGCCAAGAGTTAGCATTTTGTCGTGATAGAAAACCTCAAGCCATGGAAAGATTAACCTGTCATCCATGAGGTGACACTGTCCGTATCTCTCAGCTGGCGAGCAATCGTCTGTGTATAAGAGGGCAATTCATTCTTATCACTGTGCGTAGCCAACCATTCAATTGCTTCATCAAGGTTCCACACAACATCCCGACCGGCACTGGTTGAGTTGCCAGCAAAATATTGCAAAACATGCTTCAGTG